CAAATGCATTATTTATATGTATTTACCACGTTGTTTTGCTTTTTCTTGAACTGTTAATAATTCCTTTACTAAGCATCTTGATACAAGAAAAAGCAAACTATTTTGTTATCTTAGAAAACGTAATAGTGTTTGGAATACAGTTAAGAGTATTTGGTTCACTATAACACAATGAGTTCTTTTTATGATGACCCACACAACTCTCTCATGCTTTCCAGCAATTGCTCTGCTATTCCACAGCAATTGTTTCTTTTGATATTCTCAACACTGAGTCATGAAATTGTGGTCTGCTCTTTGCCTTGGTTGCTAAGATGCTCAAAGCCTCTTTCAACCTCAAAATTAAAACACACACACACACAAATACACAGAGCCTTATGTATTTGCTATCTAAGTGTATATCTGACAAGAGAAATGTTACTTTTTCACATTCTTAATCTGACGATAGTAATTAATTTTACTACAGCCATTCACATGAGATTTGGAACCATTCTAGCTCTGAAGTTTTGGCCCATACTAACAATTATTTGTGTAAAAAGACCAACTCCATTCTTAGCGAAGTTAGAATACAACCTTGATTTTCCGGCAGAGTCCCAACTTCAAACATGTTGGCCCCCTCCTGCAACCGTATTCATGCTCCTGTATTTTAATACTTCAACCATTAAATGACATATCACATAAAAAACAGACTCTTCTTATTTAGGGCATTCCAATGGAGAGCCAGATCAATATGATTAAATACATTTAACATATAAACATGTTAAATAGTAGGAAATGAGCCAGAACGGCACTGGAGAAAAAGATTTAAGTCTCTAAATCAATACTTACAAAAATTAGTATCTCAGTAGTCGCCTTACCTATGACTGTGGATGAGAGCATTTAAAGCCAGACCATCAGACCAGCTGGTGGTGAAGTTAATGACATTAACCTGTGGATAATTACGAGTTGATTGTCGGACCCAGCTCAGGAGAATCTTTTCACTGTTGGTTTGTTGCAATCCAGCCATGATATTTTTCATTACATTTTTGACCTATGTGTGGAAAGAAATTTTCATGAGAAAATGCATTCCCTGAACAAGAACCACACAAACTTAAATGTAAATGTCCTAATCTTCAAAAATAATAGGAATTTTAGGGTCAATTAGTAGTGAGGAATAATAGATTCTACCAGGACAGAGTCCATTCTAATTAGTTAGGAATGTATTCTTATCGGTTGGTGTCACGATACGCCATTTATTGCACACGTTTAATATCACTCCCAGATTCTGCCACGTTAAACTATTAATTCTGTGCTTTTCGAATTGCTCATCTTCTAACTTTCAGTGGATATGCTAGAGAAGAGTGTACAAAAACATCAGATTTGTTATCGACCAAAGGCCTAAAATAAGATTACTGGCTTTTTTTTTTTTAAGTTTATTTATTTATTTTAAGAGACAGACAGTGCAAGCAAGGGAGGGGCAGAGAGACAGAGGATCTGAAGCGGGCTCCGTGCTGACAGGAGAGTGCCTGATGTGCGGCTGGAGCTCACGAACCGGGAAATCATGACCTGAGCTGAAGTCAGACACTTAACCGACTGAGCCACGCAGGTACCATATCAGTGGCTTTAAGAAAGAAAGAATGGCACAGTGGCTAAGAGAATGAGCTTACTGTCTTTAAACCTAGGTTCAAATTTTGCCTCTGCTATTAACAAATTGTGTTAATTGAGCCATTTAACCTTTTTTAGGCCTCTGTTTTTTATACATACAAGGCTGTTTTAAGAATCAAAGGACAGCTATACTAACATAAAATCCCTAGGTTTATAACATAACTTAAAATAATGCAAATTATGTGTACTGATCAAAATGAAAAACAGAACAGAATAAATGAGTTTGCCTTTTTAAAATAAATAACAAGAAAAATCAACAGAAGTAAAAGTATTTATCCCTAAAAGCTGTGAATGTATTGCCTTGGGTTTTGTTTTGTCTTTGTTTTGTAGTCAGTCTGGCTTCATTTGTTAAAGCTTTTTTTTTTCAGGAAATAGATTCACATGCAAGAGAAGAACAAAAGTTACAAATGCCCAAAACATGGGTCCAAAACCTTGGCCTGTTTATGAGGCCTCTTGGGTCACGGGAAATGACACTGAAGAAGCCGCTTTAGTATTAAAAACCGTGTCACAAAATCCCACTGAAGATACATACACTGTAGAGGTCCTGAGGTGAACACAGAATACACATCTTACCTCCCCAAAGGTGGTAAGAGACCTGGCCCGGTGTCTAGAAGCAGAGTGCTGGTGGCCCCCAGGAAAAGAGTGTTTGTCTGGGCCACCCAGGATGCTGTCACTGTTATTTCACGGTTATTTCTTTATATTTTGGACCTGGTAAGCTAATCTATGAGCTTTTCTTTCAAACTATCTTGGAAGAGTCATGTCACCTGAAGCAGATGTGGTCTCCAAAAATGCGAGGTGTCACTTACGGTCACCGAGACCTACTCTCTCCTAGATGACAGGGCAAAGTCACTTTTCTTCCTGCCTCAAGAACGAAGAGGGACCCGGTACTCCTTGAACAAAAGAATCTTGGAAGGATCATTCTCGACAAGGCACCCGGCACGAGCAAGGGGCGCCAAATGCAGACGAAAACAAGTAAAGCGCCTTGTCCTCAAACCCCCACTCTCCCTCCCCCTACATCAAGAAGCGCTGCCTGTGATGGGGGTGACAAGGTTCCGTCTGCTTTGTCCCCTCGTGCTCCTTTTTGCCAGAGAGGTTAAGGGCTTCGGGCTGCGGGGCAGACGTGGAGAGAAGGGGCTGAGCGTTCAAGAGGCCCTTGGACGCAGAGCGGGTGGGTGGCGCCGCAGGGCTGAGGGCCGGCAGCTCTGTCGGCAACTTCCACCGCTGCTCCTGGCGAAGTCACGGCCCCCGTCCCAGCACACGGTGTCCCCTGGCCACAGTCCAGTCACAGGGAGCAGGAGTAATGACCCGTGTGGCGCGGGTGGCCCCGGGCACTGGCAGGCCTTCAGTCAGACGGCGTCAGCCCTTTCTTCCGATGCCTTGTTGGCTGTCGCCTGCAGAGTCTCCCGGTGCGAGGAATTTGGCCGCCTCGTTTAAGGTCACGTAGAAGTCCCTCGCAAGCACGATGATGGTAAAGACGCCAGGGACCCCGTCTGAGGGCCAAGTCTGAGGAATTGGCGACAGCTGCAATGGAGACGGCGAGGTAGACGAGAACGGCCCTGACACGGCGTCGGAAGTCCACCGTGAGCCAGCGCATGTCCTACCACTGTTGTTCGGCAGCAGGCCCTGGGCGAAGCAGAAGACAGCCAGCACGAGTCCCGCAGGTGAGCGGGCAGGAAGGCAGCTGCTGAGGAGGCCACACAGCAAAGGTGACAAAGGACAGCTCGACCCCGCCAGCAGGAGGCAGCCTTTGAGCGAGCAGATACAGCACGCAGGCGTAAGGGCGGAGCCGGAAGGTCACCAGGCTCCCAGGCCGTTTTTTTTTTGGTCAGGGTCAAGGTCGGTGGGCCACAAGGTGGCTGGCTGCAAGAGCCGAAGCTCCGCCTCCCTCCCTCTCTCCCAGAAGCCGGAAGGGAAGTGGAAACCCAGACCACGGAGGAGAAAAAGGCCAGATTCCTGGTTTTATTTTTATTAGTTCCTGTACATTTGATTCTTGCCATGGCTTTGTGCAAATGCCGTTCAGCGGGTTGTCGTATTTCATTGCTTCCTTCCTCTAACTCGTCTCATGCAGAAATCCATTCTAAACATTTCTCTAGATTTCAAGAATGCGGTGACACCACATTATAGAACAAACTGTCTACATAGCATAGTAAAGGCCTAATTATGAGGCTACTTTTTATTTTTTTTATTTTTATTTATTTTTTTTTTAATTTTTTTTTTTTAACGTTTATTTATTTTTGAGACAGAGAGAGACAGAGCATGAACGGGGGAGGGGCAGAGAGAGAGGGAGACACAGAATCGGAAACAGGCTCCAGGCTCTGAGCCATCAGCCCAGAGCCCGACACGGGGCTCGAACTCACGGACAGTGAGATCGTGACCTGAGCTGAAGTCGGACGCTTAACCGACTGAGCCACCCAGGCGCCCCATGAGGCTACTTTTTAAATATAAGTCAGGCCCCTTATATACCTGAAGGAAGTATCTAAGTAAATGTGATTAGTTTTTACCACCAAGGGCTTTCCTTTTGGAAAGCATAAGGTCCATACACTACCAACATGTGATCAGATGATGAATATTTATTGTGTATTCTAAATATGTCATTTTATTTTGCTTCCTCATCCATGTAGAAGTTAACCAAGGCCTCAGGGGAAAATACATATTTTAACATCTCCAATGTTAGTCATCTTTTTATGAAAGAGTCGATGCAAATTTTAGGATAGACTGCTACATCTCACTTTAAAATACTTGAAAAGGATTTGAGATGATGCTTTGTAAATGTGGTAATGATGTGAAGATGTAAGATCTTTGCATATATTTATCACTATCCCTTGATAGCTAAATCTATTATTTAGAGGCAGATTATCCAGTTTTCTTAATTCCATCCTGACCTGCTTATTTAGTCAGTTACTCAGTGAGTAAATAGGTCAAAGAGTTATATAAGATGTATCATTTTTCTCACCATATTCTGAAGTTATCAAGTGCACAACCTCCATGTAAAGTGATTGCAAGACATGTACTCTGTGTCCTAGGCTGAACCACCGTTGGATTCGGCACCTACCAGCTCAGTGGTGGTGATTTGCACTGATCAGGCAACCCTCCCATGATGAATGGGATCCATTTGGAAAGCGCTTGGCCAGGCTGCCCTCTATGCACAAAATGTTACAGGACAACACAGTATTCCAACCAAAACTCCTTTAGCATCATTATGTCATTAATTCAGCTTATCAGTCTCAGCCCCACTGGTATTGCTTCTACTTGGGTGCAAATGTTGCTAAGAAAAAAATAATAATAAAGGTCAATGTGAGATAATAAGTTCTTTTCCTACATAAAAAACAATTACTCAGAAATCTTTATTAAGGACCAACCTTCAGACACTGAGCTGGTCCAAAGGTGAGTCTTAAAGGAGAAAACTTTCCCACCCTTAGGACTTAACAGTCCCTAAGAGAGATAATCAATTTAAACAAATGTGTGTGTGCGTGCGTGCATACAGCTATACATCTGTTTTCAAAAGGAACAAGTTGAAATGTCATTGAGCAGTGGTTTCAAAAAATGACTAGGAGTTAACTGGGCAAAGAAGCTATGACAGGCATGGAGGTGCACCACCAAGAGTGTCCTTCAAGGAAAGGCTCCTTGCTCCATCTGTGAGTCCTCTCAGGGACTACCTGATGTTGGAGAGTCCTGTCACCTAAGGTCAAGCCCTTCCTAGGGCAGCCCGCATCTAGTAACTGCTGAAGAAAATGGTTTAAACGCTTAGCCATGTCAGCCTCACGCAGAGCGACCCTCAAGGATTATTCCAGCTCCCAGTTCCACATGGGGTGCAATACAACTGTGGCTGGGTGTGTATCACACCTCCAGCTCTTCTCGCTCTGGTTACCTTCTCCCTTCCTCAGGTGCAGGTCCCCAAAGCATGCCTTAATTAATGTCCCGCCTGCTGAATTCAATGCTTCCTTCCCAGAATCCATCCTGTGACCAAAAGGAGTTAGAGTGGAGGAGCAAGAGTAAAAAGGGGTAGGGACAGTCTTTTACAAGGGAAGGACGGTGTGTGTGAGGACCAGAGCAAGACCTGTCTTGCACACAGAGCATTAGGGAGGCAGGAGTTTACAGCAAGGGCTTTCTTCAGTGCCAAAACCATCTTTCTCCTGTATGATGTTCAAATAGTAAATAAATACTGCAGGCTAAAGTCGCCCTGGATTTGAGTTTTTCCTTTGACTTAGCCAGCAAAGGTGGGGACATGACCTGTGATAGCACACCACTGTTAGCAAGATACGTTTGTATCTCCAGCTGGTTATCAGAACTCAGCTGACCACCCTACAAAGAAAGGTTTGCACTTTAAAAAGAAGGAAGGGGCCCCTGGGTGACTCAGTCAGTGAAGCGTCCGACTTCAGCTCAGGTCATGATCTCATGGTCTGGTCCGTGGGTTCAAGCCCCGCATTGGGCTCTGTGCTGATGGCTCTTAGCCTGGAGCCTACTTCGGATTCTGTGTCTCCTTCTCTCTCTGCCTTTCCCCCACTCACTCTCTCTCTCCCTCTCTAAAATAAATAAATTTTTTTAATCTTAAAAAAAGGAAGAAAGGATGCCAAACATGTGGCATATGTCTACTTCGCAAGTTTGTTCAATGGTGCTTATTCCTCAATATATTATTGAGGAATAATATATTTTTCCTCAATTATTTTCAGGCTAATGATTTTATTTACATGGAAACTGGAAAAACAGTGACAGGAGACACACGGTAAGCATTCCTCAGCTTTTACAAGTTCAAAGGGAAGTCCTCCATGGCACTATTAATAACATAGTATGTGGCACTGGAACAAAAGATTCACATCTTTCCATCTCTTAATGCCATTCTCAATCTGATAGACCAGGAAAGTACATTAGGTTGGCCAGAGTGTCCTTTGATCTCTGCTGATATTCAATGGCTTTTGTGACTACTTAACAGGAAGGCAAATATATACTCTCTGTGAAAATACCTTCTGGGATTCATTGAGTTATGATGAGGAGTATTGAGCAGGAGGAATTTTTTGGAAGTGAGTTTAGAAGTTTTAAGAGAACCAAGCAGGGTGATAGAAGACAGAGAAGATAAGGAGGCAGAGGCTGAGAAGAGTCTACATCCTTGCAATCACAACGATACAGTGATTCAAGGACATAAATGCAAGACAACAGACTGTAAGAGAGGTCTGAGATGAGGAAAGACTGCAAAAGCACTCCTTTTGGTATTCCAGAGTGTGAAAGACCCTCCACATGCTAATAATAAAAAAAAAAAAAACTGCACAAAATCACAAACAATTGAAAAAGGTATAAGGGTAGCTGTGAAACTCTATCTTGGAGTGAGTTCAGATGCAGTGGGAAAGGGTTTTGAGAAGATAAGAAAGTGAAATCATATGAGAGACAGTTTGGATGAAAAATACAATTGAAATAGCCATTTGGGTCTCCATGCATGCCTTACTTCTTCTGCTGGCTTTGTCACGACCAACATATGCTCTTGTGCAACTTAAAGTGTCTTCTGCAAGCTGGGGTCCCTCCATGAACCATTTGTACCAATGTATCAATTGATACAACCAGTTGTGTCTATACAATCGATAGTCCATTAGAAATTTCTGTAACAATTTTACAGGTCCTACGTATGTCTTTTGAGTTTAATGATAAAATGGCGTGGGTTTGGGGTGTCTTTTTATTTCATTTTTATAATGCTTCAGTTTTACTATAATATGCATACAATGGAAAAGAGGAGGAAAAAAAAATTACTTTCCTCAAGGTAAGTTTGTGAAGTTCTGAGCAAGAGAAGTAAACCAGTTTGGTGAGGTGCCCTGTGTTGCCTCGCTGGTTCTATTTGATACCATCCCTATATGGAAAAGGCCCAGAATTGGGAATCTTGGATTCATTTGAGGTTCTTATGGTCTGTTTTCTGTTGTCATCCACTATGCTGTCTTCAATCTCTTCCCATATTGCTGTGAAACAGGATTGAGCCTGTTCAGAGTGTTTAGAATAGAAAGATATGGGGGTCAATTGGGTCAATATGGGAATCAATTCATTTGCTGAGGTGGAAAGGTACACCTCTGGTCTCCATACTGACTCTAAGCAGGACCAAAGTACAATTCAAGTTAAGTCAACCCTACTAAATGAAGTAGTGATACTTGCTACAATAATAAAGATGAACCTCAAAGATTATGTTCAGTGAATGAAACCAAATATAAAAGAACACTTATTATATAATTCCACTAGTATGAAATTTCCAAAAAGGCAGACATATAGGAACAGAAAGTAGATAAATGGTTGCCCAGGGCTGGGGATTGGAGTGGGGAATGACTATGAAAAGACATAAGATTTGCTTTTAGGTTGGTAGAAGTGGGCTAAAATTAGATTGTTTTAGATTGTTTTGATAGTTGTACAACTCTGTAAATATCCCCAAATCTTGGATGGATTGGGTGGGGGCTGTTCCTTTCTCAAAATAATTTGAGAAGCACTAGGCAGGAGAACTAAACCAGTTTGGTACACTTTGAATTTTATACATAGAATGAGTAAATCTATGATATATAAATGACATATCAAAAACGTTGTTTTTTGAAAAATTAATCACTGCTAGTAAAAACAGCAGACATCTCAATTTTCCTCCAGATTCTTCAATTGTGAGCAGAAAACGCCAAGCAATCAAAATTATTTATGATACACCTGTAGTGAAAAGAGTGTACTCTACTGAGTGCTTTACAGATATTCTCTCATTTAGTCCTGTAAGAAATACACATGTTAATTATTATTTTTTCTATTTTAACAGTGAGGGAATTATGGCCCAGAAAAGATGGCATTATACCCAATGTCACTATAAGATGGTAAGTGAAGAGGTTGAAATTTAAGTTCATGTTGCTCTGACCGAAAAAATATATACTCTTTTCACTAAACCAAATGAGTTTTGATCTGTTTTGCAGAGGTCCAATAAATATAGGCATCAGAAAATATAGGCATTCAGAAAATATAATCAATTTCAAAATCAGATTATAAACTCATATATATGTATGTATAACATAAATACAGATAATCTTATCCAACTAATCTTTTATTGGAATTAATTTACATTGAGAAATAAAAGATTTGCAAAGTCTCATTCATTTGGTAGTGGTTAATAGTTTTTATAAAACTATGTAGATTCGCTCACAGGTTAGTTATAGAAGACACATATTAGTGAAAAATATTTTTATTAACCTATTGATGAAACTTCTCTTTTTTGTGTCATCTCTACAGAATGAAATAAAATTTAGAAAAATATTCCTGCGAGTGTTCTAGAACCTGTTTTATAATCTGCTGATCCTTCACATCTGAAATGACATTAACTGTGCCCATTTAAAAGGCAGTGCTTTGGAGATGGGCTTTGTTCTGTTAGAGGTATACATGTTTGTTTTGCAGGACACGGGCAAACATGAAAGGAAGATCAGCAACATTTTACCCAAAAAGGAAACAGTCATCAAGATTCTTACCTGCCAGTGGAGGATTATATTCCAAATCAAACCAAGAGTCAGTTTGTGATTTCCATCTACTATGTCAGTGCTTCCAATATTCACTAAATCAACCTGTTAAAGATAAAGGGAAAACGTTTGAAGGAAAGAGACAAAATGTCTATTTGGAAAGAAAACAAAACTCGAAGGTAATTGCATTTAGCTATTTTCAGAGCCTAAACAGTATTACAGCTTTTAAAAAATAATCCAAAAATGAAACAAAATGCATTTGTAAATGGACTTTCTGTAACAAACAAGTGCCCCCGAACACATTTACAAAGAGATAGGAAATGAATGTACTTTTAGTATATAAATAGATTACTGCAGATTAAAGAGGCCAATCAGAGTATCTCCAAATAAAATGTATAACAATGATAACTCATAAAGGATGACTAAAATTAAGATTTGCTTCCTAATAGAAAATTGAAACTCAATAAATAGAAACTCCATCTGTCCTTCAATCTTGCTTAGAGGAAGGCTATTATAATTAGGGGTGGCTGCATTAGACTAAAATGCCGTTGCTTTAGAAACAGATATTAAAACTCCAATAAATAATGGAGCTATGGTAAACTCAATTTTCTCAATCCTGTACTGGGAATCAAAATCTGGCAAGGTTTTATTCTATTGTATTGATTTATTGAGAGAGAGAGAGAGAGAGAGAGAGAAAGCACGAGCAGGAGAGGGGCAAAGGGAGAGAGAATCTTAAGCAGGCTCCATGCCAAGTTCCAGCGCAGAGCCCGATGGAGGGCCCGGATCTCATGACCAACCGTGAGATCATGACCTGAGCTGAAGTCAAGTCAGACACTTAACCAACTGAGCCACCCAGGTGCCCCAGGTTTTATTTTTCTTAAGGCAAATCCTATCTCCTATCCTTTATGCTCCTGATATTTTTACGTGGAGTCAGATTAAATGTAAGCATCAGGCAAATGGGTGCATGAAAAGATGTTCAACATTATTAGCCATTAGGAAAATGCAAATTATAACCACAATGAGCTAGCACTATACATTTATCATAATAGCTGACATTTTAAAATAGTGACAACAGCAAATGCTGATAAGGATATGGACATAGTGGATCACTCATGCAGTGCTGGGGAAAATGTAAATAGTACAGGTACTCTGCAAAACATTTTGGCACTTTCTTGCAAAACTCATCATGTGCTTAAGCATGCAATCCAGCAACTGGGATCCAGGGCATTTATCCCAAAACAATGAAAACTTACATTTCTACAAAACCCTATGTGTAAGTGTTCACACCAGCTTTATTTATAACAGTCAAAAACAGCGATCTGGGAGAAGAGCCCAGATGCCCTTCAGGGATGACTGGTTACTTAAGCCGTGGTGCATCTACACCATGCAATCCCACTCTGTGATGAAAAGGAACAAACTGTGGATACAAGCAGCAACTTGATTGAATCTCATGGGAATTACCCCAAGTGAAAAAACAAAGCCAATCTCAAAGGGTAAGTAACATTAACAGTTTTGAATAGACGAAGTTATAGAAATGGAGAACAGGGTAGCAAATGCCAGAGGTTAGAGATCAGAGTGAAGGGGGTGAGTGGGGCAGGTGGATGTGGTTATAAAAGGGCTGCCCTTCAGTATAATTGTCAAATCACTCCCAATTATGCCTCATATAAATATACTTTCAGGTCCAATGGATAATCAAATACGCACATTTATTTTTGTACCCCAACTATATAAATACTATTAGTGTGTTGGCTTAAAACAAATAAAGTATACAGAAAAGAATGTAGAATCATTTGAACAAGGATGGAAGATCAAGATACAAGTCCATAGTTTAATTTCAAACATATTTAATAGCAGAGGATATTACTGAACTAGACAACAGACTAGATATGAGGATTTGGTACCATATGGACCTTACAGAGAAGTTATCCTGAAGTTGTATATAAACGGACATTTCCGTAAGGCTCAGTTGAGGAGTGGATAAATGGAAACTCTCAAAGCTGGTTGACATGAAAGACTTTGACTTTATTTGGTATAGCAAAGTCAAGATGATACTGCCATTATGAGATATTACATGTCTACTTATTTCCGCAATGCAGATGCTTTTGGTTGCACATTTGAATTTCAGGAGTATCCCATGCAAATCATCCCTAATTCAGTATGCTATAATTGAGTATTTCAAATTCCTGGGCGTTCGCATAAATTTGTCCTACACATGCAGATAATAATTTGCTGTAACACTTTTGTTTTAATTATACAAACTAAAATACAATAAGTTTTTAGAACTCATTAGGGAAGAAAAACATAGAGATCCCAGGGGAGATTAATAACTCAAGAACAAGAAAGCACTGTCATCTACATTTCATTTGGAGATTCCTTATGTGGCAGTAAGGGAAGGAGCTCCTCCATATGGAAAAGCTACTATACATTTATCAGTTGAATCACTGATGCGTTCATTCAACAAATACATTTTGGCTCTATGTCAGGCACTCATGTACTTACAGCACAAAAGAGATAGTTGTGCTTGTAGTGAAAGTGATAATCAGACTGTACATTGTAGAAAATTCAGTTATTTAAATGGAGAAGATGTGGTTTTTTTTTTTAGGAAATAGACCTATACTGGGGGAATCACTGCTAGTAGTTATGTTTGGACTTGCCATAGGGAACATCCTGGGGAGACTTAGAGCAAGCAGTAGGCTTGCCTCTATCTACTTCCATAAGCCTTCTCACTATATCAGCAGGGAGACTGTTCCTCTATTTCTTTCTCCTCATAAAATCCCTCCTCAGATCCAATTTCTATTATGTCCAGGCACTGTGCTCAGCTGTGAATAAAGAAGAGTAAAACAGAGCCCCTAATGTCAAAAAGCTTAGAAGCTAATGGCAGGCCGCATAAGAAAAACTAATTAAAATTAAGTAGGATCTAGAAATTCCACTGCTGGAGATACACCCAAAAGAACTGAAAGCAGGGACTTGAACAGATTTGCCACTTTATATAATGTTGCGACGGACATCTTGTGTATACATCCTCAGATAACTGATGCTTTTATTGTTATAGTAGCTATTCCAAGGAATAGATTTGCTGTATCAAAAAGGTATACCTAGTTTTAATTTTGGTAGGTTCTTCTTTATGAAAAGGATTTAGCATTTAATATTCTAACCAGCAATGTATGAATAGGCTCTTCTCTTACCAGCAATAGATGTTTCTGCTTTTTCATTTCGCCTGATAAGTAAAAATATATTGCACTGCTAATTTATTTCGATGATTCCTACTGCATTTGGAGAATCTTTTTGTATAACTGATCATTGCAATTGCATCTGTAAATTGTCTGTTAATATGGCTTGTTCCTTTTTCTGTAGGGTACTTTTGTTCTCATTCTTAATATTTAGAGCTCTTTGCAATCAATACCTAACATTTATGGAGTACTTATCACTTATAAACAGTTTTATGTAGTTCAACAATCTAATTTTTGTATTCATATTTATAAATGAGATTGTCTTATACATTTGTTATTTAATTTTATGCTTATTGACTGTTGCTGCTAAGGTTATTCTGACATCACAAAAGTAATTGCAGGGTTTTATCTTATATGCTTTGGAATACCTTAAAATATAGGAATTACTATTCTTTAAGGATTAGGTTAAATTCATATGTGAAGAATCCTGGTATGTATTTCCATGGTAGATCTCTAATAACTTACCAATGTTTTCTGAAGTAATTAGTCTAGTTTAATTTTCTGCTATTCTTATGTCAATTTTAGTAATTTGCATTATTCTAGGAAATCATGCATGTCCTGGATTTTTCAAAATTAATTTCACAGAATTGCTTATAGTATTCTCTCAGTTTCTTATTTATCTGCAGTTACACATCCTTTTTCATTACTAATCTTGTCTATTTTTCATTCTCTTCTCATTTTCTTTTGTTAGGATTAGAAGAGGTTTGCCTCTTTTGTTGATCTATTCAAAGAGCTGGCTTTTGAACACAATTCAACCTCTATTTTTCAGTTTTCTATTTTGAATTTACTTTTCATTATTGTTTTTCTTTTTATAATCTCTTAAGATACTTATTTCTTTTTTTTAAGTTTATTCATTTATTCTTCAGAGACAGAGACAGAAAGAGGGAGTGGGGGCAAAGAGAGAGGGAGAGAGAGAGATAGAATCCAAAGCAGGCTCCGCACTGTCAGGGTAGAGCCCCATGAGGGGCTCAACCTCAAGAACTGTGAGATCATGACCTGAGCTGAAACCAAGAGTCAGTTGCTTAACAGACTGAACCACCGAGGCACCCCTATTTTATTTCTATCTTTAAAAAATCTTAAGCCTATAGGGTTCTCTCGGAATACAGCTCTCACTCTACCCACATCATAATCATAATATAAGTATGACGTAGTTATTCGTTTATATACCTTCTATCTAGAGAAGAACAAAGTGTCAAAGGTACACGAAGCTTTCACAAGGTCAGATTTAAAACCAGGTCTGGATATGAGCGATAAGTCCTTAATTAAATCTTGAGACTTCTTCATGAAGTTCTTTAATAGGTTCTAAATTAATAAATATTACACACCACCATGTAGACAAGTGATATTTGTTTTGGTTAAGTTTTGTCTCTTGCTGTACAACTCTTTTTCAGATTACCAAGGACTGTAAGAAATAACCATAATTAATAGTCACTAAGACACTAGAAGAAGGAGGGGTATTTTGTCATGCCTGAAGGGTACTGTTCATAGTCATAGGTTACTATTCAATGCCTCATATAGACAGTCTCGCCCATTTTGACTCTAAATCGCATATGCTTGGTTTCTTTTTATAACGCCATGTTTCCTACAACGTAGCTATGAATGTTGTTCTCATAAAAATCATTACTACTCTTAGATAATCACATGCATAATGGCCTCTTTTAAATATTTTTCTAATACATGCTCTGGAGGTATATCTTTCAAGGATTCTCAATCCAATTTCTAAATAACTATGGAAAGGAAAAACAAAATCCAAAATATGTCAAAATCTGTGTTAAATGATAATTGTATGTCTGTCTAACAGAAAACATTTCTGTGACAAGTATGTTAATATATGGAGCCAGTGTGTGTGTGTGTGAGTGTGTGTGTGTGTGTGTG